CTTTGCCCAGTTTCACAAGTTCTAGCTCCATTTCATAGGTCTAGTCTTTACAGTAGCACCATCAAAAGTTCAGGTTATCTCTCTATTTGGGTCTTCCAAGTAGGCTTCTATCCTTCTATCTAGTTCCTATGATTTACACAGCCTAAGGACTTATCTTGGGTTTACACCACTCGGTACTAGTTTGTGTTCCTTCATACAACGTTGCACAAATGCCTAGACCTTCCAGTCAGGCTGGTATAACATGGGTTATAGGTATCCTATCTCAACCAATCACAGAAGACAGTTAGCCATAACTAGAAATGTTATAGTTCGGTTCAGTTTGGTTCTGGTTCAAAAAACCGGTCTATCCTTTGAACTACAAACTAAACTGCAAACTATAAACTGGTTTATCTGAAGCTCTCTGATTGGCTATTTCAATTTTGTATTATATAAAGTACAGTACATACATATATACGTTCATTAACATTCGTTTGTACTTATTATTTATTCTAACATAATATACTGTATATATAAAATACTTCTTATTTTAAGCAATTTATAATAAAATATGAATTTTATTTAAAATTAGACATATACTATTATTTGGTATCTAGTTTAATTAAAATGCGACTACTAGTTATTTTAGATCACAAACAATACAAATTACTTAAGAATTTGTTGGTTCCATTAACTTTTATCAATAATGATTTGAGAACTTAGTACTATTAGAACTAATTTCAATGATTAGCTAAGTATAAATTTATTTGAAATTTAAAAGTATATTTATTTATATATAATAAGTATATGTATATAATAAAATACTAATATTTTAGTATAAAAAACCTTAAGCATTTAATTAATATTTATAATTATCCTATTTGATTGCTAATTCAACTTTTTATATATAAGCAAGCTCTTGATGTTTTTGAATGAAGCCGATTTCATGTTTTTGAAATTGTATGACCTGCGATAAAGAAAGCCTGCTTGCATGCAACACTTGTTGCTTGTATAGAAAGGTAATCATGGGCAACTAATGATAGGATAGGATAATCTTTTTGATGGGTTTTCCACCAGAATAATGGCTTCACATTTTCATTTGGCAAAGAGTAAAGGAAATTGTCTAGTTCATTATTAATTAGTAGATGTAATGTTATTTGGTCTTGAATGGTAGTATTCTTATGAGCAGTATAGAATGGTTGGCAATTTTGAAAACCAAGCTGCCAAAAGAATTGTCAAGTATTAGTGTATAGTTCAGATTCATGGTTATTTATATCATTACAAAGCATAAGTGATTCGAATTAAGACTGATAACAGTTAAAAACTTAACAGATTTGATTAATAGCATTTTTTTGTTCTTCTGTATCACTAAAGATTTTAAGCCTAGTACATGGATCAAGAACTGCAGATACTATAGAAGAATGATCCATTATTTCCCAATATTCCACTAATTTGTTATACATAGAGATGGCTATATTTTTTTTAGAGTATTTTTCTTTTTTGATATATATATAAAGATGTCATTGAAGGCTTATAAAAACAAATCAGACATTGCCATGGGTTGGATAAGATGCTGCTGATAAATGTTTTGTAGCTTTCTCTAATGGCTCCAACAAGATCATAAGATCCTATATTAACATTATCATTATTGTTAGTTTCAAAGCTAAAATTTAATACGTATATATTATTAAACAAAAGTTTTTGACAATTTATAATCTAATTAGTAGGGAGTTGTTAGCTAAGTTTTAATTTGAATAATGTTATTACATTGTATTACATGAAAAAAAATTTAATTATTTTACTTACTTGTAATTTTTGTTGATCGTCATAATTAGAGTACAATTCAGAAATCGAGTTATTATTAACGCTAAGAAGATTCAAGGCTAACTCCATATTTTTAAATTTTTGTAGCATGTAGTAGGTACTGTTCCATCTTATTTCTATATCAGGCTTTGCTTTAAGATATTTAATTCCTTTAAGATCACATAATGCACGTAATTCATCACAGAGACAAACTGATGCTTTAATTTTTGCCATTAATTGACGCATTTTATTTACTGCTAAGCCAGCCATTATTAATTCTTGTTTTGCTACTAAGTTCAAGACATGTATTGCGCATTTATAGTGAGAGAACCCAATATTATTAAATTTATTTTCTAGTTCTTTTGCTAACAAACGACTACATACTACCACAGCAGATTCATTATCTGTAGTGAGTGCCATTATTTTATTATTTAATTTAAATTTATTAAGAATGAAACTAATAGCCTCTGATATATTAACATCTGTATGTCTAATTGCAAAAGGAACTATATCTAATAAAAAATGTTGAAGCTTCCAATCAGAATCAATATAATGAATTGTAAGGCCCAAAAAAGAATCATTATCTAATGATTTCCACATATTAGTGGTAAGAGAGATTTTACTAGGAATATTTTTAATTTAATCTTTGATTTTTTCACACTATTTATTAAACTCATCAATAATCATATTTTTTGCTGCTTGTCTTATAGGAACGATGTAATGAGGATCCAGAACATTTATAAATTCATGAAAATACTAATTATTAACTACTGTGAATGGTTGTTGATCTATGATAAGCCAAGTTATTAACTTCTCATCTCTTTTTTGTTGCTCTTGTTCATTATAAGGATCTTTACGATAAATTTGAAGTGTAGCTTGCTTTTTTTTTGGTGCTTGTATTTGATGATTTTCAAGATGCTTTCTTAGTGTAGAAACTCCAGTAGAACTCTTATATACTTGTTCACATTTACGACAAACTAGTTTCCCAAAATACTTGGCAGTTTCTGTATTAAAGTGCAGCCAAACTGATAATCTATGCTTTTTTGGCTTTTTTAATTGATTTACTGTGGGGATATTACTTAGAGATGATTCCAAAACTTGGCTAAAAGAATCAACAACATTAGTATCTGAAGTATCAGTTATTTTATCCTGAAACATTTCCTTATCGTAATACTCTAAATTTGTTTGTATATCTTCACTCATTACAGATAGGTAAAAAATTCACAGTTCTATTAGCAAATGTCAAGAGATTTATAAATTTAAAAAATAAAGGTTTAATACGATTTGGGTAACAAAATTCAAAATTCAACAATTTAAAGAAAACTTTATTATTTATAAACTTTAGCGATTTGGAGGTAAGGTAATTTTGAGCTATTGCTAATTCGATTTATTGATTCTCCTTATTAAAAAGTTTATTATTTTATAATTTTAAGACAATTACAAAAAAAGATTCTTATTTTTGTCTAATCTAATCTATTGAGTATACAATATTTCATTATTTGAGGCTTGGGCTAATTAAGAGAAACATTTCTTATACTTTTTTTTTTTTATTGTATTATTTGATTTTGTTGATAAATAACTTCGTTTAATCTTTTTCATGAATTAGAAGCATTTTTTTTATTCTCATTCCTTCGAACACCAAAGATCTTACTGTCTAGAGGCTTTAAGAAATATTGTATTTTCATATTATTTTCTATATTTGATTTTTTTAATAGTTTTATCTTGTGAATTAGAAGTATTTTCTGAATTCACTTTGCATGTTGTTTAAGCCAATTCTTTTTTTAGAATTATTACTATGTGATTTTTTTTTTTTATTCTTTAATGAGCATTAATCAATTTTTTTATTTGATTAGTACTCTGACTACATTAGCTGTTATCATTATAAGACCATATACTTGATCAGTTCTAATACGATTAACCCTTTATAAGTGCATGTTGCCAGCATAATATGTACTATGAAATTTGTTATTAGCTAATAATAATATTAAATTACATCAGGCAATATATACTTATAGAGGATTAATTATATTATTTATAATATGTAGCTTTTATTAAGATCATTCAGAATCAATAACACTAATATCTATTTTTTAAGTGTTGTATATGTAGTGTCTAGAATTGGAATTTGCCAGAATTAGTATCTGGTTGTATTGATTCTTACTTAACTTCAAAATTCTTAAGTAGATAATATAGCTTGATGATAAATTCTAGAGCTGGATAACCTGATTCTGATCTATAGCACTCGATTTTGAATTGGCAAAGTCAATATATGAAAGTATGCACTTATTTTTTAGGAATATTATATTCGTAATACATGCTGGTATTATCGCATCTAGATATATCTATTGATCATCAATTATATAACGTACGTATATAAAGATGATATTTTATTTGTTTTTTTTTTTTATAGTTATATTGTACTAATACAAACACTAATATTAATAGATAATAAATGCATGAATTATGTTTATTCTTTTCAACCCCAATTCTATTTTAATAACAATATCCAACATTAAATATTTTATCAGAGTCACTTATCTCTATGGATTTACCAGGAACATAGTAGAACAAGGGAATTCTATTTTAATTTGATGTATTTTTATTTAATATTGTAGTCTAGTAATTTTAATCTAATTCTTGTATTTTATGTCGATATGGTTCTTATTTTAACTGGCTATGACTAATTTATGTTAGCGTTAGTAGGTATTTTATTGACTTTTCGATGTACGCTGAAATGTGTACTAGGTTTGTAGTACAAGTTCTTATACTAATTTTTGAGAAATAGATGATTTTGATAAAATGAATGTTTGCTCTAAATTCCTGAATGTCACATTGCACCTGATTTTAAACCTGATTCTAGTCCAGAAAATCTATACAACAAACCTAGCACACACTTCAGACATGCTTGTACTATATTTGATCTATCTAGAATGATGCTTAAGAATTTTTAGTAATGGTGTGAAAATTTTGTAGTTCTATATAGAGATGCTAGTAAAGTGAAACTATTTCATCAGCATTTCTAGTTTCATGATCTTAGAGGCAAGTCAGGCCAAACAATATTTTACACCAAACTGAGACTTGCAATCTGGAACTGTTACATTCAATACTAGTATATGTTTTGTATTAATGTAAAAGTTGGTGCTTACATTAGGATAAGTGGTGTTAAGTGAGTTATAATTGCTTTGATCAAATAATTTAATTAGATAATAGGATACTCTAGAAAAATCAACAAAATAGTACTAATTAGATCTCTTTGAATAATCTATTTTGTGCAAGACTAAAATATTGAAACCTCATATTAATATTAGAAGAAGAAATTTTGCTTTTAGAGCGTAAATATGGCTTCATAATCAAAATTTAAAAATTGATATTATGGTCTTTAATGGGCAGTTTTAGTTATTATCTGGACCCAGATTTAATCATAAGATCCAGGTTTAGTTTCAAGATTCGAATTTATAATCAAAACTTAAATAAATGATGCAATGGTCTTTCACAGTATTACTGAAGCAGTTTTAGTTATTATCTGAACCTGAATTTAATCGTAAGATCCAGGTTTAGTTTCAAGATTCAAATTTTATCTACTAAATTCGAATATTATTAAATTCAGATTTTACACTAAATTCAGATTTTATAATAAATTCAAGTTTCTGGTT